GTACCAACACCTATGAAATGAAACAAACAAAATCGGTATCTAAGAGGGTAGCTTGGAAAAGTCACGTTGGCCAGAAGTAATTTGTGACGAGCGAATCAGCACCTAAAATAGCAAGAGATAGAGCTGAACTGGAGGAAAATAATATTTAGAAAAAAAAACTGTGCAGTTAGTGCCACCGAGTGGTTTAACTGTAGAGAGTCTGCCGCAGAATGGAACTGAAATGAAATCATAAAAGTCATTCTTTAGTTGCGAACACTGCTCAGAATGCTAAGCCAAAATCGTCAAAATCGAGACAAATCAACTGTTTCCAGTCCTGTCTTGAACAAGAACTGTAGCCATCTTGCAATCCTATACAGCTTGTTGCACATGAAGGACTTTAACGTCGAATTCTAGGGAAAAAGATTGAAAGGCCCTGAACGTGGGAACAACCCCAGTGTTTGTATTTGCTGGCTATCAATATGTTTTCTTTTTTCAAAAATTGGGATCAAAAAATTAGGTCACAAATGCTCGACGCCAGTCCAAAGTTGTATTTAATTTATTAACCGAGCTTTGCTACTAGTAAAAGAGAATACAGTTGAATTCACCTCAATAAAAGTCGCGTGAAGAGTTGCTGTACCTTCTCGAGTTTTTTAATGAAATTATAGGCGCGAACCCCAAGCTAGGAGCAATATTCTAGTTGAGGAAGCATAGAATGAAGATGATTGATGATGTAGTATTGGCGTTACGGAAAACAAAAAAAAAACGGTGAATACTTTCTTAATCAATTCAATATAGTTGAAAACATTCAGCTTACAATCACTAACAATCTTAGATTCATACTGAGGCACATGTTTTCAAAGTAACACCATGCAGGTTGTAGGTAACAATTTGCCTACCTTCCAAATGGAGTACAAATTTTATCTAGGTTAACAGTCAAATTATACAGAGGAGCCCGTCTGCCCAGATTGCTCAAAGCCTCTTGCAAAGCAGGTTACTCTAGACCTACTGATGAAATCATAAGCTCCGTAAACTTTACTATCATCTGCATACACCTGTATTTTCACAGTTGGAATGGTTTTTAGAAGACCAGGCAGTTCCTTTGTAAAGAGAAGGAACAGTAAGGTGATAAAACTCCTCCTCGAGGCACACCACTGTCGCAAGGGTGGTATTTCTCAGGAATGAATTTACCAACTTTCTTGTGCGTTGAAGGCAAAGTCCGACAATTGTCGAAGAACGAATAAGTTTCCGGCAACTGCATTTTCTTTCTTTCGTTTCTTTTTTGCCCATAAGGTGAGCCTCCGCTAATTCGGCTCATGCAAAAAGCGCAGCAAAAAATGGCGAAGAAATGGCAGTTGCTTCGGACGTTATCGACAATCATAAACAATTGTATACATTAAATAAATGAAAAAAATAAATATACGGCAGTCCCGAACATTATCTCATTTCGGTTGACTACAGCACAGCTCTACGATTTTGCAATTCAGGTATATGGTATAACGCACCTTATCAAGCAATCCTCTGAAGTCTTATACTGTAAGCTTGACTTCCTAAAGTTTCTCTATAACCCTCTGAGAAAATATGGGGCAAAAAGGATTTAATTTTCTCGATTACATGCTAAATCCCTCCTCATCCCCATTCCTTCCCCTCCTTCCCCCTTCCCTCTTCCTCCTCTCCTTCAAAATATGTTCAAGTTAGCAGAGCAAAGGCGGCCCCCTCAAATATCAGCTCCAGCTGAGATGCTACATTCAGCTGCATTGTTTTTCCAATCACTGAATATATGAGCGTTCACACGCCGATTTGCATTGTTCTCGTTTGCTCATGGTCTTAAAAAAGCTGCGCACAGTAGGAACACTGTTTGGTTCGTCAGCTTGCTTGTTATTATGAAAAGTTCAGTCATTTGCACCCAAATCTTAATTTTTTTTTCTTTCTCCCGTTATTCGAAGGAACTTATCGAACAGTAGACTAACTAATACCAGATATGAATTATATCACATAACAATTTATTCTAGAATCAACAAATATACAAGTGCTCAACCATCAAACATGTACATGCATTTGAAAGTAAAGCATTTCTTATCTACAAACCGGTGCTCAACATATACCCGTAAATCTTTGATTACTGTACTTGACTAGTGTTGTTTAAAGTGCTACACAATGCTAAAACTAAAGTATCACAAAAATCGTGTCAAGTACAGCAGTATAATGAGTAGAGACATAGAATATGAAGTAAACTGTCGTGATGTTGAGGTATGTGGTTGTACTTCTAATGCTTGGTCTGTAGATTCGGTGGAGTACAAAGATACAATCGAGAGTCCAGATCCTTCGTCCTAAAAAAATAAATGGCGGATTTCGATCGATAATTGATCAGCTATGTGTGCTGATTAGTATGAAAATTTGTCCATGAGAGTGATGTTGGTTAGAGGAAAACTTACATAATCCTCGTCATCCGAGTCCGAGCCGCTGCCTTCCACAACTTGATAATTTGTATAGTTTTGTCCATGAAGAACATTTTGAAGGCGGAATGAGAGCATCCCTAACCGAAGGCGTTCTTCGATGAAAAGTCCTGGAAACAATACTATAAGAAAGAAAAGCAAACTATTTGAACTTGATTCAGATGATTGGCTGTTATCGATAAACTATTTTGAATTTGTACGAAGCAACATAGTAAAAGCAAACTACTGTATAAGGCCATCAGCGACCTATTCATTGTGAGTTTTACAGATAACCTTATTCTGGAAAACTAATCTATTAGCAAGCCTAACTG